GGGGGGCAATGTGGGGAGGGAGGGGGGGCTGTGCACGGGAGGGGTCCCTACTGCGCGTCGATGCGGAAGGAGAGCAGCTTCTCGGAGTGGAGGTTGTTGAGGGTGCGCAGGTCGGGCAGCTTCAGCAGCAGTTTGGTGAATCGGGAGCTTTCGGCCGGCCGCGTCTTCTGCACCAGCGCCCTCAGCGCTCGGATCAGCGTCTCCTGCAGCTGCTCCACCGACGCCGCGTCCTCCATACCCGAACGGTCTGCGGGGCCGGGCGTCACCGCGGGGGGGAGAACGGCCCCGGGACCCCCCCCCCAGCACGCACCCTGCCCGGCTCCGTCGCGGCACCCACCTGCCGACACCAGCACGACGGCGGTGAACAGCCCCAGCTCCTCATCGCTGAGCTGCAGCGCGCTGAGCTTCTCGCTGAACTCGAACATGGAGCTGAGCAGGTCGCCCATGCCCATACCCCACAGCTCCTCCAGGCTGTATTTGGTGCGGCTCATGAACGTCACCGTCTGCTCCTTCACGTTGAACAGCGAGGCGAAGCGCACCATCAGCACCTGCGGCACATGGCAACGGCGTCGTGCGGCTCTGCGGGGCACCGTGCTGGGGTGTGGGGGGCTGCGAAGGGATGGGGGGCGCTGCACTGGGAGGTGGGGGGCTGTGCTGGGTTGCGGGGCGCTGCTAGGACGCTGCGCCTTGTGCAACACCACGCAATGCCCTGCAGCACTGCCGGGACACGGAGCGCCGTGCGACGCCACGTGGCACCACGCTCGGATACGAGGCACCGTGCAACGCTGTGCTGCATCGCGCCGAGCTGCTGCATCGCCGTGCAACGCTGCAGCACTGAGCGCTGTGCAACACTGGGGGCACTGTGCCGTGCAGCGCCGGGATGTGGAGCAACGCGATGGGTTGTGGGACGCCGTGCAGCGTCCCAAGGTCACCGGGCGCCGTGCTGGGATGCGCAGCACCGTGCGATGGTGCGGGAGCCCCGGACGTACCTCGAAGGTGCCGGCTTTGAGCAGGGTGACCTGGTCGTGCTGGGACAGCGCCTGGAAGCCGGGAATGTGCTTGGCGAATTCGACCACCTCGCGGAC